CAACGTTGCTGCTATTTCCTCTTTTGGCTATTAAATCGATGGCGGTTTGTTCTGGAGGTTCGTTCCCATTCACAGACCGATCGAGTGGCGTGGGCACAACTTGATGATGCTGCAGTCAGGGGCTGGAGAGGTGGTCACACAGAAAGCGTTATGAACCTCGAAACAGTAGACTGGTCGCTGCATCAAAGGCAGGTCCGGACGCGGCGGCGGAAGGGACAGCTAGGATGCTGCATCCCCGCGCCGGCTTATATATTGTAGACAGGTGAAGTGAAGCAGTTGTAGGCGATATCACAGTGAACAAATCCACATGTGGAAGTAAGACATACCTATATGTTATACAGGGAATCCTTCACTTGCCTAACTTACAGGTATGACCTACTTCCACATGTGGATTTGTCCACTGTGATATCGCCTATGATTGCTTCACCTCACCTGTCTACAGTATATAAGCCATTCCTTCGCGCCTATACTGTATTCTTTTCAAGATTGATGGACTAATTACATCGACTCAAGGCTGAGGGACTGATTACCTCAAACTCCTTCCGATCTTCACAATTCTTCTTTGCATAGGACTGATGAAGTCACTGTATGGTGAAAAATTTCCTCAGTGAAGACACCCAAATGTTGCACATGTGTCTAATTTACCAACCATGACTCACATAAATTGAATAAATGGAGGCACAGAAGAATGAAAGAATTTAATGCAGATGAATGCCACGTATTGGAAATACAAGAAACCAAAATAAGGCCACCCAAATAAACAGAATGAGAAAATAATGGGTGTATCAAAGGGCCCTCAGTGTTATTATTAAATTATTTGTCATCGTAAGATCATATAAATGATACTGTGACAAATTTATAAGCTGCACTAGCAAATTGTACAACAGCTTTCAGATATGTGGAAAGAGAAATGAAAAATAGCCGTTTATAAAATAATATATATATGTGCAAATAACCCGCACAAAAAAGAGAGAGACTTACGACGACGTTTCGGTCCGACTTGGACCATTTACAAAGTCACACTAACCAGAAGTGGAGCAGGACGGCTATATATAGGCAGGAAGAGGTGGTGGTAGTAGTAGTAGTAGTAGTAGTACAAGAATGGTATATAATACCGACAAGATGAAATTAAGACACATGCGCAACACCCGGGCAACCCTATCGTAGACGTTTCGCCATCCAGCCAGCCACTGGATGGTGAAACGTCCACAACAAAGTCAACCAGACGCCGCACATGTGTCTTAATTTCATCAATAGTAGTAGTAGTAGTAGTAGTAGTAGTAGTAGTAGTAGTAGTAGTAGTGGAAGAGGTAGTAGTGGTAGAAGTGGGGAATAAGGAGGACGAGTCAGTCAAATACAAAGGAAGGGGAGCACTGCAAGAGAGCTAGTTGCCCACAGAGGGAGAGCAAGTGTACAGAGGTGCGTGAAACGGGAAGTGGTGAAATAAATGAAGAAGGAACAGAAACACGAGACAGAAGAGAAAGACAAACCAGAGGAGAAAAAGGAAAGAGGAAAGGGGAAGAGGGCGAAGAAGAAAAAGAAAAAGAAAAAATGAGGAGTCAGGTTAAGTCACGGGTGTTCTGAAGTTTGGAGCATTTTACAATGTAGTGAGAGAGGAAGGCATCTACAGAGACGAAGCCAGGGCTAAGATTCATACAAGCAAAGTTGTGTATTAGAGAGGATTCAGCTAGACGGCGACTGTTCGAGTTGGAAGTAGGGAAGACAGTTTTAGCAGAAGACCAGTCAATAGGATGGCTATGATCTCTGACGTGACAGAAAAGAGCATTGTTAGTGTCGGCAAGCCTAACACTATTTTTGTGCTCCCTAAGTCTGTCAGAAAGAGATCGACCAGTTTCTCCGAAGTATTAAAGAGGACAGGAGGAGCATGAAATAGAGTAGACACCAGGAACATCTGTAGAGGGAGGAGAGGTATGAACGAGATTAATGCGAAGAGTGTTAGTCTGGCGGAAGGTAAGCTTGATGTCTAAGGGACGGAGAGAACTGTTGAGATTAGAAAGACCGGAAATGTAGGGAAGGCAGAGGATAGAAGAGTTCCCAGGAATAGAGTGTTTGGGAGAGAAGAAATTGCGTTTAGCACGTGAGAGGGCAGAGTCTATGAAATGGGAAGGGTAGCCAAGACGGGAAAACGAATTGTGAAGAGTGGAAATTTCTGCTGGAAGGAACTGAGGATCACAGATGCGGAGGGCACGGAGAAAGAGGGAGATAAGAACACTTTTCTTGACAGGGAAAGCATGATAGGAAAAGTAGTGAATGTACATGCCACTGTGTACAGGTTTTCGGTAAAGGGAAAAGGAAAAACCTGTATCTGAGCGGTGGACATGGACATCAAGGAAAGGAAGCAAGGAATTAGATTCCCATTCAGCTTTAAACTTAATGGAAAGGGCAAGATTATTAAGAGCTTCAAGAAAAGGTTGGAAGAGACTGGAGTCATGAGGCCACAGAGCAAAGATATCATCCACATAGCGGAGCCAGAGTGAAGGTTGCACATCGAGGGTAGGAAGAAGAACAGTCTCGAAGTATTCCATGTAAAGATTAGCAAGGACAGGAGAGAGAGGGGAGCCCATAGCGACACCGAAGGTTTGAGAATATTTCCCTTGGTGTGTGCCGAGTGCACTGGCTGGAGGTTTTGGCACTGACGCTCATTTAGCTCGCTGCTATGAGGCATTATTCCTGTATTCGACACTTATGAACATATGAATGGTAGAGCACTGCTGTAGGCCTACTGGCCCAAACTAAGCAAATCTTTCTTTAAATCGGTCATTCCCACCCACCCACACAAGAATTACCTTCAGTACCTCAGATACGAATCAAATCCAACCCCTCTCACTCGTATATTTGTCCAATTTCTTTTTAAAGCTACCCATCTCTTTCTGAGACTACACATGGCATACCAAATCACAATGTGAGTATGAGAATGGTATACAATACCGACAGGTTCATATACCATAAGTACAATACTGTACTTACAGTACAGTGATGTACTTACAGCATGTACCTACAGTACCTGATGTACTGTACATATATACTGTTGCACATGTGCCTTATCAAAACCACAATGGTGCAACCCATCGTAGTCAGCTGGAAGTATGGCTAACCAGATGCTTGCAGCGGTGAGTTAAAAACAACTGATCTGGTAAACTAAATGCTGTTCATTCTGACGTTCAGAGTGAGGGTGGGTAGCCTTGGGTAGTTACCTCATTTCTGAAATGCTCCAGACAATCCACCCTCTCAACCCACCAGCTGGCCAGCACTATATATGTTGTACAGGAATGGTATACAATACCGACAATATGAAAACCCCCTTTGGATATGACCGATTTCCATTGGGGAATCCCGCCTACCAGTGACTATGCCCTGGTCTGCCACCCGTCCCAATCCACCTAGCGTTAGTAGATAAGCGCCAGTCTCTTTGCCTCTGTTCCAGAATCTTCACGACTACGGTGCTCATGACACCAGCTCCAAGGCTGAGGAACTGATTACCTCATCTTTTGCATATAGTTCTGTCTTCAAATTATGCCCTAGAATCTGTATTGATAAAGTCATTGGATGGCGAAACGTCTACAATAAAGATACCCAGATGCTGCACATGTGTCTCGGTTTTCACTATATATAATATTTTATGGGCGTGCATTCACTGTTGTATTCAAGTGTTTTCATTTCACTTATCACTTTAGCTCTGTTCCCGTAAATGTCTATTTTGTGTTTGACTCGTGAACATACACTCTGGTGTTAGGAATATATGTTAAATTATTATGTCTCTATTTCCTTTCCTGATTGAACTTTGACTGCACTAAAGTGTTTTATAGCAACAACTGGTACTACAGACCCATTTATGAGCACCTGGGGTCCTGATAATGTATTAGACAAATGTTGGGATATGGAGTTTGAGTGCCCATACCAGAAATAGTACACAAGTTAAGAAATATCTGAAGAAAAGCTGCAACATGGACAAATGAGAATATTTCAGAATTTTAATAAACGCCATCTAAAATTGCCTGTCCAAATTGTGATTTAGTGTTGGAATGGATAGAGGCTGACAAGGAAGTTGACAAGGACGTTAACGAGGAAGTTAACAAATGGGACGAGAAGTTACAAGAAATGTTAGAGAAATACCGTTACATCCCTTGTATATCACGCTAAACCCATGGTATGACAATTTCATGGTTCCGGATTTCTCACTAATATCGAAGTCACTATATGACCTCTTATAGATTTAGCACTTTTCATGGATATAAACAAAATCAATGATTATATACTGAATTATGCTTTCACTCACTTGATAAGCAGCGCTAAACGATCAGCTTCCTGTACAGGACACGATGTGCCTGGCAGGGGCCAGTAGGCCTGCTCTCGTGTAGCTATCTTGTATTCTAAAGCTATAAACTCGCAAAGGAAGGAGTGTAGCATGATGCGTGTGCACACGCATGACAAACTACGATCCTGTAATCAACTTTTCCAACTGTAATCATGGTAATCAGACCTGTCTAATGGTGGTATATAGCACTTGATTACCTGGTGACTATTAAGTGTGCTGTGGCATTCTGACTTGTCAGAATTTCTGAGCACTGTCAAGACGTCAGTGAGTATCTCGCTACTTGACAATGGACCAAAGCGGAGCGAAACACTGAACAATAGTCAAGACATAAACAATGTGTAATAGACCACGGGGAGCAAAACGCTCAGTGGTGGTCGAGACGCTTAATAAGGGTTTATGGCGAAGCAAAGCACTGTACAATTGTTTAGGGCAAAGTACAACGCTGTACAATTATTTAGAGCGTAGCAAAAGTATAAAAAAGTTGAGGGTGAAGCAAAACATCGCACAAAAGTTCACGGCAAAGCAAAAGGCAGAGAGAAATTCTGTACAGTTGTCCAAGTCGAAGCGAAATGCTAAATAAAATTTCCTCGCCAATTTTTTGGGTTTGTTTTTCGCAAGGATAAATGCCATTAGAATAGAGAGAAAACATTTGGATGGTACTCAC